CTGATTTGCTATTGCATATGCCTCAGGCCACGTGGTGAAGTAATCCATCACCACACAAATGTACCTGTTTCCAGCACGAGTTTGTGGCAATAGACCAGCAATGTCAATGGCTACTCTTTCCATTGGTGCACCAACTTGATATAACTTCATTGGATCACGTCCTTTATTCTTGGGTCCCCTTTTAGCACAATATGTACTGTAGGTCCTGCACCAAACTTCCACATCTTGCCTCATTCCTATCCAATAAAATCTCTGCCGTAGGTGGCTCAATGTCTTCTTAACTCCGAGATGTTCTCCTGTTAAACTATCATGGGATTGACACAACACAACTTCCCGTAACATTCTCGGTTTTACCGTTTGCCAGGTCGTCACTTTCCCATCTGCAGTTTCCCATCTCTGGACAAGAATACCATCTTCAAGCTTCAACTGGTCCCATTGTGCCCTATAGTTCTTTGTCACAGGGCTTAAACTAGACACCTTCTCCCAAGCAGGGTGCAAAATCCTTGCCTTTAGAAAATCAATTATTGGCTTCAAATCTTGGTCTTTCTCCTGCTCTGATTTAATGTCTATACTTGGTTCCACTTCACCATCATTAACTCTTTCAGTCACTTTGATTTCAGTTTGATGGCACCTGGTTAGTTCAACCTCTCTCTTTTGCAGCAATGTCTGCAGTCATTTTGCAAGGTCTCCGGCTCAGTCCGTTGGCATTTTCGTGAGACTTGCCTTCTCTGTATTGAATATCATAATTATACTGGTCTATCTTTTCGATCCAATGTGCCAGTTGTCCCTCTGGATTCTTTAATGATCTTAACCAGCGTAATGCAGCATGGTCTGTCCTGATGGTAAACATAGCCCCATAGAGGTTAAGATGGAAATATGTCAGACTCTTTAGTATAGCAAAGAGTTACCTCCATGTTACACGGTAGTTCCCCTCTGGTCTACTCAGGACCCTAGTGAAGTAGGCCACCACATGTTCGTTTTCACTCACTTTCTGAGACAACACTCCCCCAATTCCGACATTACTAGCATCACAATCCAGTAGGTATGGCAATGAGGGATCTGGAAGCTTTAAAAGAGGAGTTGAGGCCAATTGTTCTTTCAATGCTGGCAAGAAACTGTCCATTCAAATTTCTGGCCTTTTTTTTGGTGAAATCATGTAGTGGAGCAGCTATAGTTGCAAATTCCTTCACAAACTTCCAATAATAGGTACAGAGTCCCAAAAACTTCTTAACTCTTCCACATTGTCTGGTGTTGGTCAATCATACACTACTTTCACCTTGTCAGGGTCAATGCACACACCGTGCTCACTTACAATGTGACCCAAGAAAAGCACCTCTTTCTGGAACAAGTGGCATTTCTTGGGATGGAGTTTGAGGTTTGCTGCTTTCAAATGCTTGAATACTTCCTCTAGCCGGGATATTTCCTTATCAAACGTTGCTGCAAACACAATAACATCATCCAGGTACACTAGGGCTATCCTCCATTGTAGCCCTTCAAGTACTCATTCCATGAGCCTCTCAAATGTTGCTGGAGCATTGCTAAGCCCAAATGGCATCATGCAGTATTGTCAGAGACCTTGGCCATAACTAAATGCAGTCTGAGGTTTATCTGCAAGTGAAGCAAGCACACCCCTCTACCATGCAGGATGCAATGGACAGAGCTCTCGAATTTGAATCCTACGTTAAGTCCAGCACAGAGATACCAAGGTTGGTACGGTCATCTGGATTCAAAGCCAGAAAAGATCAGCTTTCAGAGAAGTTTGAGGGACTTTGCTCGCACTGTAATAAATCTGGGCACAAGAGAGCTCAATGCTGGAAACATCAACACAGGGGAGGTGCCACAGCAGGAAAGGCTGGTATCCAGAAAGATTGTTGGAACTGTGGAAAGCACAGACATTTGAGGAGCCAGTGTAGGAAGAATATTACCAACAAGTCGGCCTCAAGGAGACCAGTAGTGGTTGCTGTTGAGCGACGCCCACCAACCCCCATCATGAAAGTCCCAACAGCTAGGTGTAAAATGGCAAGCACACACAGTGTCTATGTGACAGGAAAGCTAAATGGCCAAAGGTGCAACTTTGTCATAGATTCTGCATCTCAGCAAACCCTTGTGAGCATCAAGGTGTTAGATCACGAAGGAGTACCAGAAGCCATGCATAAGCTTTATGGTGTGACAGGACATTCTACAAAATTGTGGAGACCAGTGTGGGTAACTATTGAGCTAATGGCCATAAAGGACAGACCGAAAGTATACTTGGCGGACATTGAAGACCAATGCATATTAGGACTGGACTATCTACTACCAAAGAAGTTTGTAATTGATTTTGATAAAATGAC